TTTTTGTAGTTCTGGAAATTGAACTCAGGGTCTTGTGCATGCGAGGCAAGCACTCTACCAGCTGAGCTATATCCTCAGCCCCCTAATGAGTATTCTTTACATTTGCATAGCCCAGTGTTCTTTTGGCAGTATACCCACAGAAATCACAGCCCTATTGCTGGCCTTTATGCAGCCTTCCTCAGGTATCTTTCTCCTTGTTTCATAAGCTTCTAAAGATCCCCTTTTCTAAAAATACTGTGCTGCTTCATTTAGCTAGTTTTCTGACGCCTTTAAATTTCCATATGGAAATTCCTTCAAGTAAATACTTTTAAAAACAAATAAACATGAGGTTGGGTACAATGGTACATGCCTGTAATCCCAGAAACTCAGGAGGCAGAGGCCCCAGGATTACAAATTCAAGGACCAACCTCAGCAACTTAGTTGCTGAGGTTGGTCCTTGAATTTGTAATCCTTGTCTCAAAATAAAAAATAAAGGAGGTGGGGGATTGTGACTCAGTGGTAGAGTGTCCCTGGGTTCAATACCAACTTACCACAAAATAAAATAGAATAAATGTCAGAAATAAATGCTAACACATTTGGTCAATTGACTTTGGACAAAGACACCAATACCATTCGAAAGGAAAAGACAGTCTTTTCAACAAATGGTGCTGGGAAAACTGGATATCCAAAGGAACAAAAATGAAATTGGATTCTTACATCATATATAAAATTTAACTCTAAATAGATCAAGGGACCAAAATGCAAGAACTAAGGTCTTAGAAGAAAATGGGAAAATCTTCCTGACATTGGATTTGACAATGATTTTTTTAGGTATGACACCAACCTATAAACAATCAAAGTAAAAATAGATACAATGGACTTTATCAAAATTAAACACTTTTTCAAGACATGGTGGTTCACACCTATAATCCCAGTGACTTGCAAGGCTTAGGCAGGAGAATAGCAAGTTCAAGGCCAGCCAAAGCAATTTAGAGACCCTGTCTCAAAATAAAAAATAAAAAGGGTTGAGGATGTACCTCAGTGGTAAAGTGCCCCTGGGTTCAATCCCTGGTACCACAAAAAAGAAATAAAACCAAAACTTTTATCCATGAAATTATACTATAAGAAAGTGACAAAATGCTCCACAGAATGAGAGAAAATATTTGCCAAACATATATCCTACACAGGATTTAATATGTAGAGTATATAAATAACTCCTAAAAGGCAACAACAATAACAATAACCCAATTAAAAAAGTGAGCAAAAGTCTTAAACAGCTAATTCTCCAAAGGTATACAAATGGCCAATAAGCACATGAAAAGATGCTGACATCACTGATCACTAAGGAAAAGCAAATCAAAACCACAATGAGATGCCACTTCATACCTATCATCAAAACAAAAGAAAATAACAAGTGTTGCCAAGGATGTGGAGAAACTAGAATCCTTGTGCTTCATTTATGGGAATGTTAAATGGCACAGCCACTGTAAAAGAGATTGGTAGTTTCTCAAAAAGTTAAACAGAGAATTACCATATGACCCTGCAAGTCTACTCCTAGGTAAATACCCCAAAGAACTGAAAGAAGGGACTCAAATAGTTATTTGTATACCCATCTTCATAGCAGCATTGTTCACAATAGCCAAAAGAAGGAAACAACCCGAATGTTCATCAATGTATGAATGGATAAATAAGTTGTGGCACATACACTCAATGGGATATTATTCAACTTTAAAAAGGAATGAAATTCTGTTGAATAAGCTAAAACATAGATGAACCTTGAAAACATTATGCCAACTGAAGTAAATTGAACTGAAAAGGATAAATATTACTATATTTATACTTATGAAGTACCCAGAATAGGCAAATTCATAGAAACAAAAAGAATAGAGATTGGGGGATGCGGAGTTACTGTTTAATGGTGAAATGTTCCAGGAATGGATAGTGGTGATGTCTGCACAAAATCATGATTGTACTTAAAGCCAATGGCTGTACACTTAGAAATGGTTAAAATGGTAAATATGTTGTATATATTTTACCATAGTGAAAAAATAATCCTAAATAACAACACCCCCTACACACACACAAATAAACAGAGGAAAAAAGAAAAGAAAAACAGACACCTTACCTTCCAGGGATGTAACCAGAACAACATGAAGACAAATGATGACAAGGAATATCTTGAATGTCAGTAAAACTTCTTCAGGTCTGCCAACATGACCACACTGCCCACCAGAAAAAAACATCCTGAAATAAAAGAAGAGGGACAACAGATTGTCACAGCTGCCGTAATCACAACACAGCAATACCCAAAAGGTCATTCCTCAACCAAGGCAACCTGCCATGCTGATTCCTTTTAGTACTATGAGTCCAGAAAATCAGCAATGCCAGGTGAGCACCAGCCATTAAAAAGCAAAGCCCATGTTTTGATTAAGGGAAAGTCACAAAGTAGAACATTATATTCAAAATGATTAGCAAGGTAGTCCATGAAGATCTATGGAAAATACCAACACAGGGGCTGGGGTTGTGGCTCAATGGCAGAACACTTGCCTAGCATGTATGAGGCACTGGGTTCGATCCTCAGAATCACATGTAAATAAATTAAAAAGGTACATCAATAACTAAAAAATATTTTAAAAAAGAAAAGAAAATACCAACACGTTCAAAATATCAGAAGAAACTTAAAACTAAAATAGTATGTATATAATTATTACCACCATATAAAGGCTGGTTAAGATTATACTAAAATCAGAAGGATTCACAGAATCTTCTAAATAATCTACCCTACTTATGTCTTAATACTGTAAAAGGCCAGGTACTTTGTGTTTCCTCTTTATTGCATCTTATTGTCACTGCTTGCATTTTTAATAGTCCATGAGTCAATCTTTTTAAAAAAACAAAGTTTATATCAGAATTGAATTTACCTTTCACTTACCATTCACTTATTTGTTCATTCAATGAATCTACTGAGAGTTGACATATACCAGATGAGATGTGAGGACTGAACAGGGTAACTAGAAGAATTACATGTAGTGGAGGTGGGCACTGCAAATGCTAAGACTACTTCTATTCTGCTCAGGTGAAGGAGTTGACCAACAAAACCCATGATAGGCAGTCAGCACCTGTCATGCCATGGATGCTCAGGGAGGAAGAAGCCAGCTGGGAAATTGCAATGCACTCTTCAGCTCAGGCACAAGCAGGGAGGCAGTTAGAGCCCAATGAACACACTCCCACACAGCCAGAGGGGAAGGGGCTGCAACAGACCAGGCTGTGTTTTTGGCTACCCTACTGGCCAAGAGTACCCATCAATCCAGCCACCAAGGCAGCTTCTGCAAGCCTGAGGCAGAGTATGCATACACAGTGGTGAAGACTAAAGAGCATGAGTTGAAAGGATCCAGCTCTGAAACATAACGTGAATGACTCTGGGCAAGTAATTTCCAATGGTCAAATTACCCATTTAGCAAATTGTGATAACAGCATCAACATTATAGTATTGCTGTGATGAGTGTTATGGTTTAGATATTAGGTGTCCCCCAAAAGCTCATGTGTGAAACAATGAAAGAAAATTTAGAGGGAAAATGATTGGGTTATGAGACCCTTTACCGTGGGAATCAATCAATCTCTCTCTCTCTCTCTCTCTCTTTCTCTTTTTCCTTGGTGCTATGTTCTTAGCTGCTTTGCTTCACCATATCCTTCCTCCATGATGCTCTGCTTTACCTTGGGCCCAGAGCAATGGAGTCGTCCATCTATAGACAAGAGATCTTTGAAACTGTGAGTCCCAAATAAACTTTTCTTCCTCTAAAATTGTTATTGTCAGATCTTTTGGTGACAGCAACAAGAAAGCTGACTAAAACAATGAGTAAACAAAAGATCTTTGCACAGTGGCTGGCATTGTGAATGCCCTGTAAATGTTAGCTATATTCTTCATTCATTCATTCATTCAGCAAATCTTTATTTTGCACCCAGCATGTGCAGGGTCATATAGCACAAGGATTAAGGTGATGAGGGCAGAGAAAGAGGGGGATAAATAAACTACAGTTTCTCGGTTTCAAGGTAAAGCTGGCACTCTCTAAGACTCTTGTCATCTAGTAGCCATAACCAGTACTGGGAGAGTGATTCTTTCTTCGACATGGCATGATAACATTTTAGACCAGGAGGTGAATCCTTCTCCTTCAAAAGAGGATTTGCATTTTTAAAATTAATAAATTGTATTATATATTAATACAATGTGTTAATAAATTATAAAATGCCTCTCATTTGTTTCTTCTCTTGAGCATTTTTTTATCCTCTGTTCATAATGGCATATTATTGATCTTCTCAAATGAGTCTCTCAAATGAGAATGTCAATACAGTTGTGCAAAGATGTATCAGTCTATCTGAAGAAAAAATGTGTTTGCTACAGCTACACACAACAATATTGATGAGTCTCAGATGTATAATGTCAGCCAAGGAAACCTCACATTAAAGAATGCATAATGTACCATGATTCCATTCATATGCGAAACAAAAGCAGACAAAACTAATCAATAGGGAAGTCAGGAGAGCAGTTATCCTTGGAAGGAAGAGGGTAGTAATAATCATAAAAGTGGACACCAGGAGAGAGGACTTCCGAGGTACAGATAATATTCTGTGTGCTGGTTAGACGAGCATGTTCAGTTTGTAAAATTCAATGAATTAGACATTATATGTATATTTAAGGAAGTTCCAACTGAAAGTTTGGAAATAAATATGTTTTTAAAGTTTCTGAACCCTGTTCCACCTCTAAAAGCACTACTCTTTTAAAAAGTAATTATTTAGTGAACTAAAGTGCTACAAAAACACTGTCCTATGCAAATGCCTTAGGTTCTACTCTGTCTAGAATTGGTAGAGTTGACTTAGAAGATTTAACGCACATGTATCTAAGTTTATCTCTAGGAAGAATATAAGGGCAGTTTATTCTGGAATGGAACTCAGAATCTACCTAGCCTCAAACCCTCATTCTACAGATGAACAAAGAGGCCCAGTATGCTCCTGAAGATGAGTCAAGGTCATTTGGCTATTTGGTGAGTCTATACTTTCTACTAGACCACAATACCAGCCTCCTGAGAATTTGTGTCTTTGTAAGTAAGTTTTGGGTCCATCAGATAAAATGAATCAACAAATTCAAAATTCTATTATAGAATTTCAAAATTTCTACAAACTCATTCCTGACCTTTGCCAACTCTTAGGGCAGGGCTAAGTGGTATACAAGATATGGTCAAAGTTAAGTTAGTGTACACAGTGACTGGTTATTATGTACTGTGACTTGGGCCTCTGATCAAAATAAACCATGCCTTTATACTGAAGAGGGAAGGTACTCAACTCCCAGGGGAGGGTAAGAAAAGCTAGAATGAAGAATGATCCCAGCAATCATCTTGAAAAGAGAATATGGATCAAGAACTTACTAGTTCCTGAGAGCCCATGAAGAGACTGCTTCCGTTGTCATGTCTGAACTATGTTTCCTCAAGGCTAAAAATATATTTGCTAATAGAAGTTTTATGGTATTTTAAATAATGTAGCTACTATTGACTTCTACATAAACTGAGAATGTCCTGCTAAGTCACAGGTCTGTGGGATCATTGATCAAAGAGAAATATCTATAGATTTTCAAATGCTTATATAAGTCATTTTTATTTTTTCAACTGGAATATTTCCTCATCCTCTGGCATAATATAGGTTAGCTCAATATTATCTGGGTCATCAACAGAAATGACCTGAATAGCTACCAGTTCTCAGCAAAATTTTAAGGTATTAAGAATGACTAGTAAGATAGCATCAATTATAGAGAAAATAACTTGCTAGCATTTAACCAGTAAAATTTAGACCTTGACACTAGACAATCAACTCACTAAAAATGAGCCCAAATTCATCTTAGTCTAAGGCTTCCTTTAGGTTGTACCTTGATGTAAATGGCAACCTCTAGGGTTGCACAATGCATAAGCTACATGACTATATGCCATGCACCTGCTTAAACCACTCCAAGAAATTGTTCTATAGCTCTTCAATTACATTAAACAGTATCACTGTCATATTTTTAAAATGTAACTCTTGGTACAACCTTTAATGACAATAAATGATTAATCTATCTTTATAAAGACATAGAATTATTAAAAATAAGAGTAAGATTTAAAAGAGGGCAAATAGCTTGATGCTATTGTAGGGCAGGTCTGGGTGAAGGTTATTCTCTGTTATCTCTGGTTAACTGCCATATTTGATTATATCATAGTTGCTATGATATATGCAATGATCAATATTTTTAACCTAAGTAACAAGAGGTATGATTGTTCATTAAGTCTTCTAGAAATCTCTATGCCTTTGAGATATTTACATTGAGTCATTAGTGTTGGCTAACAAGACTAGAATATGAGGAAATTAAAAAAGGGAGGCACTAAGAGGTTCTCGGTGTGGACAAAGCAAGAACAAAAAGTGAAAAAGCAATCGATTTAGATTGTTCACCTATCAAAGAAGTCAGGGAGTGGGGAAGAACCAGGAAGCTGTGTATAAAAGCACAATTAAATTTCTATTTAAATTCTGCTAAAAGAACTTGATATAGCAAATATATCAGGAATAAAAACAGAAAAAATGTCTTTGGTGTTTTAGGAGTAACTCGGGTTAGGTTATTTAGATAAAACCTTTTGCTGAAGACAATTAAAAATCATTCATAAAAGATTAGAAGCATTTTCTTAACTATAGCAAAGAGCTGATGAGATAGAAAGGAATTGTCAGGCCAAAGTTGAAGATAAAGCTGAAAGCCAGGGAGATAACATGAGCAGTGAAGCCACTTATACCTAAAGGTAGGGGCTCATGGAGAAAACTTTTGAGTTTCAGACATGAAATATCTGAGAAAAATTCAGAGGCATGGAGAAAATACATAAATAGAATTCAAAGACTGACATATATTTGAATAAAATTCAAGGAGGAGAGGATGAGGAAGAGTTAATGTTTGAAATGATAATGACAAAATGACCCCAAAACAGTGAAAAACACCAATTCACAGGTTCAAGGAGCTCAAATAATCTCAATTATAATAAATAAATAAAAAGAGATCTATACCTAGAGATGTCATAGCGAAATTGAAAAAGAAAAAAACAAAAAAGAAAGAAATTGAAGAAAAAAGAAAGAAAATCCTGAAAGTAGAGAAACAAGACAGTTAACTTTCAAAGGAGCAACTGTTAGACTAACAGCTGTCTTCTCAGAAGCGACAATGAGAGCTAGAAAACAATGGAATA